ATGGTGCCATGGGGACTAGTGGTAATAAGACTTCCAAGATGGAGGATGTGGTTGGCCCTTCAGTTTTAGATAGTGGTGCAGATCCAGTGAGTGTAACCGAGGATGATTCTCATGAGGGTGATAACTTCAAATTCTACTTGGTGGAGAACATGGTATCAACAGAGATGAAGATGAATGAACCAGTATTAATCCCTGGGTTTAAAAAAAGTTTGGATGTGCATGTTCGCTGGCCGGATAAGATGATTGAAAAGTGTGATAGAGACTCTCGCAGTTCATTGCCGGTTGTTTTCAAGGGAGCCTCAAGAATCTGTTTCCTTGTATAAATGTCTCGAAGGCTTCTTACAAGAGGAACCCTTAGGACCAGATGACATGTGGTGAGTATGTTTGTATTTTTGTATTTTTATGTGAGCTATTAAGTTTTTGGTGCCAGTATCATGTTGATTATGATTTTGTTCCTGCTATCAATAATCTAAATTATGAATTATAATATTGCATGAACAAATTTAAAGTTTTGTTTGTTGTGAATTTGAAGCACATATCTTGTATTCTCTCCAATAATAGGGTGTTTTGGTCATATGACATTCAGGTTCTGCCCCATCTGTAAGAAGCATCAGCAAGCCAACAAAAAGTTAGATCTTTGGAGATTACCTAAGATTTTGGTTATTCACTTGAAAAGGTTCTCATACAACTGGATGCTTAATGGTAAGCTAGAAACATTTGTGGACTTTCCAATAGAAGATCTTGATCTTTCCGATTACATTTCCCACCAACACAGCCAGTCAGGCACTCATTACAGGCTGTATGCTGTAAGTAATCACTATGGGGGCATGGGAGGTGGTCATTATACTGCTTTTGTTGATGTAAGTATTATTTCTCTGATTGCATGTGGTTAGTTATGTCTATTCAGTCTAATCTTGCTATGATCAGAAATAAGCCTGCAATGATCGAACTACTGTGAATATACCTTCATTCATTCAGCTCTTAGGTTCTTCTCATTGAAGGGTATGCTACTGTTTCCCAATTGGAAGGGAAAGTTTTTTTTATTTAAAGAATATTCATTAATTTGAAATGGTTAAGTATAATACTTTTAGTTTATGTGAACTGTTTATCTGGCAGGTAATTGAGTTTTGTCCTGAAGAGAGTAATACCTCCTTTATAGCTTTAGAAGCCTACCATGGCTAGAGGATGGTTTTAGCAAAATGAATTCCTCCTACACAAATGATTTAATTAAATCCCTTAATATGGTATAAGTATGCATGAAATAGGAAAAGAAAACCAAGGTTTGTCATTTGCCCTACTTTGAGTTGAAATTGTATATCTGAATGCATTTGCTTTTTGAGATAAGCCTATTCTTTCCATTAATTCAACAGTTGCTGGATAACATATGACTTGTTGCTCTTTTTTTCCAAATGCAGATTGGCCAGGGGAGGTGGTATGAGTTTGATGACGGAAGTGTTCACTCTGTCACTAAAGACAGCATCAAGACGTCTGCTGCCTATGTCCTTTTCTATAGAAGAGTTCTAGATGTGTAAATTAGACAGTAGTGGCAAACTCATTGCAACCCAAAACCTGGGAAGCATAGTGCCCTTTGAAACCCCAACTAGGTTTTGACAAAAGAGCAATACTGCTGACTACCATTTGCAAGCTTACATTTTATTTGCCAAAATATTGTTTTGCTTAGAGTCTCCTGTCGGAGGTAGGGCATGACTTTGCAGTTGTACAGTTCAAAAGGTTATCAGTGAAAGCAAGAGATATTACAATGGTCACATACAATTTACTTGTGTATACAGGTTTCACCAGATGAAAGAATTATAGATATATTCAGAATCCTTGTCAATTTCTTGGAATGAGCAGTTTTACTTCCTATCATTTTTAAATAATAATAATTAATCACTCTTGGTAATTATAGATATTCAAATCCCCCTTTTTGCTTCAGCCTCCATGTAAATTTTGTTTCATGAAGATTTTGCTGTTGTACGGTTTGAGCAGTTTATAATTAATCACTACAGCCATGTGATTGGGGGTTTCCTTGCTGTTTATATCCTCAAGGTGAGTTTTTATTCCATTAATTTTTTTTTTAACTGGTCTGCAATATTCTCAATGTCTGCATATGCTGAAAGGAATTTTGTCATTTTGGTAAATGTATATTTCTGTCTGAGGAAAATATTTCTTGTGTATGTTAATATGTTCAATTATTATAGTATCATTTTCTCTCGGTGAATGGGAATTTTGTTTAATAATTTCAATGGTTGTAGCTTGTGGTAGTTTCAATTTCCCAGGAATCTTTAGGCATAGAAATTAAAGTGCCATCTTTGAAAGTTCAAAGAAAAAAATGTGTATTTGGAGATTGTGGATAACTAATTGAAATTCGTGGCTCAACTTGTAACTCTCCTCTCAGGCCAACAACTTTTTCTTTTTTTTTTTCTCTCTCTCTCTCCTTATAAAATTAACTCTCACTTCAGGTCAATGAATTTTTTTTTTCCTTATAAATTATAAGGGAATAAAATTTGACAATAATGATATAGAGATATCTACAATTGGTTTTCCTTGAATTTTATAATTGAAATATAATATATTTTTTTTGGTAGAATGAATATTACATATAATTAAAAAAACAATGTATATTATTACTACCTCTTAAAATTTTAAAAGATTTAAAACTAAAAGTCTCCATTTTATTTTTGCTTTTTTGCTTCAATTTAGTAATAGGGACACCATTTAATTTAATATAATTATGTTTTTGTTTTTTCTAATCTTCAAGGAAGATGATTTGAGATTTAACACTCTTAAGTACTTATAAAGCTCCAAGCAGACAAAAACAAATAATCATAAAAAAATTATATATCAATGTAATTTTCTAAGTTTGATTCAGTTTTCACCTTTGCAACAGAAAAAATCTTTACAATGATTAAGTTAAATGTATGTACCTTTAAAATTGATCACAAAGATTATATGTTAAGTTGAAGTTGCATGGGCTACAATGAAATGTTTCCTATCCATTTTTTATGTACTCTTTTGATATAAGATTATTGCAAAGGGTAATTCTTTCTTTGTTTCTTTCTTATGTGTTTATGTCTATGTATGCGTTTGTATTGTGTGACACAAACGTTGGTGGATGGAGGTATGTATGCATTCCCTTTACCTTCATTAGCTTTGTCTGTCCATGAGTGAAAAGTTAATCAATTGATAAACACATTAATAAAATCAAGACACTAATTTCTTAAGGTAGAAAACCATTAGGAAAAAACCACGGAACCTCAAAAAACTTCCACTATTGAAATAGTAACAATAGTAAAATTACAAGGTTTCTTCTCTCTCTAGACAAGACTAGAGGTTCTTAACAACAATAAATCACACCATCACAATAATCACGCCAAGATAAAGTTGGATAGCAAATCTTAAAAAATGAAACTTGAAATGGACAGATTACAAGCTTGTTGAACTCAGCAAAGGTCATATCTACTTTCAATCGGCACCTCATTGTTTCAAAACTCACTTGCCAGGCAAGAAAGAAGGTACAATTGAGTATGTCCTTCTCAATCAACACCTCATTGTTTCAAAAATCTCCCAATTCTTCATAATGGAAAATGTGAGGTCCTACATAATTAAAATTTATATTTAAAATTCAGACTCATTGCTTTTGTTTTTTGAATTTGAATTTGATTGGAACTAAAACTAAATTAAGAATCACAATGTTAAGGCCTTCACTTGCAACTACAAGGAGGGAGTAGAGGATTTAAAAAAGATAACAGAAATTAAATAATATTCATGTTCCTTTCGTAAGAAAATTATCAAGTTTCAACCATTCAATCTCTTTCCAAAAATCAGAAAAGCATAAATCATTTTTGAGGCAATTGAATGCAGCATAAACCAAAATTAAAAACCAAGAATATATATACTATACCTGAAGAGTAGATTGTAGGATTCATGAACTTCAAGTAAGAATTGGTTCTTACTACTAACTAGCTACCCATACATAACCTGTACAGAATGGACACATATCATTTATCATATGAGAAGAGGCAATAGAAGGGGAGAAAAATCAATAGTCTCAACTCAACCTGTTATGCTATATATGTAGTAATCAATTTAAATTTTCTAGACTCTCATATCAAAAGCATAAAGATGAAGCCAGTTTCAGTCTTTCTTTCAAACAAGGTTCTACCTGATTTTGATCTATCTCAATGTAGGGAATGTTACGGGTGAGAGGCAAATAATGTCCTTTTGCCTCAAAGTGTTGCTGTTTTAGATGCTGGCAGTTTTCGATGCTGAGATACCGAAGCAAGCGAGGCAAGTCTTCCTTTGGCAAGGTTCGGAGCTTTGGACAGTTGGATATATGCAGCTCTTGAAGAGAGTTAAGGCTGTGAAGGATCTCTTTGGATATGCATTTCAGATTTTCTACATCAATGATCTCAAGAGAAGTTAAAGAAGATGGCAACACAATGTTAGGAGGCCACGTCCGACTAATTGCCAACTCTTGAAGAGAGCTAAGGTTGCGGAGGTCCAATCCCACCAACAAACGCCCATCTGAAATGGATAGTGTCTGAAGCGATCTCAACTCAACCACGTTATTTGGTAGCAACATCAGATTCTCACAATATAATTCAAGACTTGTTAAGTTTGCGGGCAAAGCACCATTTGTAATGCACTTGATACTGGGGCAATCTTCTATGCATAAGCTTTCAAGTGATTGCAACTGGTATATCGTATCTGACAGGGTCTTGAGACTCTTACACTCGGTTATTTCTAGAAGCTTTAGATTGGGGATGGATGAGCCCAGCCCTGGGAGGGACTCTAAAACTTCACAGTTCATGATTTCTAAAGTAACAAGATTCCTGTTGTCGTTAAATATGGGTAAGCTTTTCAATTTGTCACAATGACTTATAACCATGTGTTCAAGTCTGGTGCAACGTTGCAACATCCTCTCTGGAAAGGACTCTAACCCCTTACAATTATCAACATAAAAAGACTCCAAAGAATCTGGCAATTGACCACCCTGAAAAGAATTTAGAGATGAAAGATCACCTAGTTTCAAAGCTTTAAGATTGTTGTTGTCAACATCTAGTAGAGATTCAAGATTTTCACAGTTCCATATGCCCAATGATATAATTGTGGTGGGTAATTTGCCTCCTGGAAAAGACTTGAGAGAAGAACAATGACGGAAGGTTAAATATTCAGGTGTAAATAAGATGTTGTTACTACCTCCATCCATTTTCATCATCAGCACATTGGGCAATGACTCCAATTCCCCACAGTTTTGAAGGTCCAGACTTGTAAGGTTGAACGGCAGGAGGCCTTGTTCTTTCCCTGCCAGACACACAAGCAGAGGACAGTCATAAATTTCCATTGTCTCAAGACGAGCAAGATTTGCTATTTCTATTCCTTCCTCCCACAAACAAGTAAGTTCTTCACAACTATCAACACTTAGAGACTCAAGCATTGTCAGGGACTTCACAAAACTCTTAGGCATGCAATTTAGCTCTGAAATTCTCTGAATTCTCAAGCTAGTGACAGAGGTGAGATCAACCATGCTCTTCAAAAGAGCAGCATTGCAAGTTTTAATATTCAGATCTCGAAGCAAGGGAAGACTCATAGAAGAGCATCTTAACTCTGGGCATCCATCTATCTCAAGATTCATGAGGGAAGATAGGTTGCTAGGTAATTGTCCTATCAACTTAGGACAACTTTGAATCACAAGGTCACGGAGACGAGGGAATTCACCTCCACTTCCCATTGGAGAAGCCCATTTTTTCCAATTAAACATATTACAAAACACCAGTCTCTCAAGTGATGGAAAAGTGCCATGCCCATAAAACTCAGGACCCACAGCTTCTATTGCCTTCATGCCTTCAATACTCAAGCTTTTGAGAATAGGTAATAGTCCAAGTGATGGCAACAAAGTGCATCTCTCACAATTTTTGAGCTCCAAGTATGATAAATTGGAAAATAGTGGATCACCCATCCATAATGGGAATTTGTGGCCCCCATAGAAAACAATTTTGAGACTTTTCAATTTTGAATGAGGTTTTAACCAATCTAGAACCTGCATTTCACCATTGCTTCTGTCCCTTGAATTACTGAAATCAGAAGTCCACTTCAAGAGTAATTCATCAAGACCATGTATGTTGCCTAGGCTAGCTTCCCTAGCATCTTGAATATCAAAAACATTCTGCAGATCCAAAATAGACAATTTTCCTTGAAGTTGCTGGAAGTTCTTTAAATCAGATAATCTCATCAATCCATTTGCCTTCCCCACCATAAATTTGGACAGTGTCAAAAGATTTTTAAGATTGGCTATTCCTCTGGGCATCTCTTTTAAAGAATTTGTCCCCATAATATTCAGATGATGGAGCTCAATTAGGTTTCCAATTGTCGAAGGAAATTTCGAAAACCTATGACAGTTGGATAACAATAATGTCTGTAATTGGAGAAGAACCCCTACAGATTCAGGTAGGCTCTTGATTGAAGATCTTGACAAATTAAGGTACCTCAAACATTTTAAATCACCAATTGAATCTGGTAATTTCCATATAACATAATTTGAAAGAGATAATGCCCTTAAGCACTGCAATTTTGGTAGCCAATCATGCACCACTGTATTTGATATATAGCATTGAGCCCTACAAGGGAGTGAAACAATTGGAATGAATGTTCGTAAACTCTTCATTTCCTTCAAAACTTCAAATTTCTTGGATATATCATACTTGCCAGGGTTGAATGACAAATGACGAACCTTTTCAAAATTTACTTTTGACTTTTTATTGGCCTCCCACAAATTTTTTAGATTGAAGGATGTTTTTCCAACAACAAATTGAGCTAAATCATGTATAAGATCATGCATCACATACCGTGATTCCTCCCCACTTGACCTTTCAAAAAATGTTCTTGAAACTAATTCATTAAAGTATCGATGTCCATCTTCTTTTGAATTTTGTTTTTGGAGGAGCCCCATTGCCATCCACAGCAAAACTAGCTCATTCTTGTCAAATATGTAATCTTTAGGAAACACAGTGCAGTAAGCAAAACATGGCTTCAAATAAGAAGGAAGATAATAATAGCTCAATCTTAAAGCTGGAAGAATGCCGCTTTCGTTTTCTTGCAGCTCCCATATTTCACTACGTAAAATGTGCTCCCAAGCTGAATGATCTAACTCATCACACAGAAGGCCTCCGAGGACTTTTGCAGCTAGTGGTAATCCTTTGCACTTTTTAACAATTTTCTCTCCAACTTCTTTTAGACTTGGGTAAGCATTAAAGTTGTCAGCTCCCAAAGCGCATTGAGCAAATATTGACAGGCACTCTTCATCCTTCAACAATTTTAGGTGGTGAGCTTTAGACTTCCCTCGCATAATTTTTACAACATCCTCGCTACGAGTTGTGATCATTATTTTACTTCCAGCTGCCCCAGATAAGAATGGTTTTTGTAAGCTATCCCACAAGGAAGGGTTCTCATTCCAAATGTCATCTAGTACAAGTAGAAACTTCTTGTTAGATAACACCTCGCTTAATTTCTGTTGAAGTAAATTCAAATCATTCGAATCAGACTTTTCCCCAACTGCCTCTAGAATAGTTCTTGTTATGCTTAGGATATTAATTTGATCAGAAACACAAACCCAGGCCTTAAGCTCAAAGCTTTCTGGCTTCACCTCTTTGTAAACAAGTTGAGCTAGAGTGGTCTTCCCAACACCTCCCATCCCATAGATGGGAACAACACAAAATCCTTTAGAACTACTGCCTTCATCATTAAGCAACTTTTGAAGAATAGCTGCTTTATCACTTTCTCGACCATAAACATAAGGTTCAGGCAAAGAAGTAGTGGGCAACCTTCTTGTAGATGCTTTATTAAGTCCATCTCTAGCTTGAGTTGTTGAACTCAATAGGTTGAGTGTCTTTGATTCATCTATCATGTGCTGCAATTTGCGAGTGATATCATCCACTTTAGAAATAGCTTGGGAATTAGAGACAAAATCACTTCGTTTGAAACAGTTGAAACATGAGGGGATGAGTTTGCTGGTGCTGGCATGGTGAGGTTTTGCAGTTAAGTTGCTCCTTCGAGCATCTGTCACAAATTGATCCAGAACATCTTCCATATCATAAGTCAAGTCCCTGATATCATCAAGCCATATATTCACCAAGCGGTTGGAACTGAACATTTGAGTCCTTTCTGCATCTTCAAGTAGGGCGCTAATTTTCAATGATAAGCTTTCCCATTGTCGTAGCTTAGTAAGGATTTGCTCTTGTAAATTCAGTACTCTGCTAGACTCTAACTTGTTGAACAGCCTCTCAAAAACAACAGTTAAGAAAGCACCTCCAGCAGCAGATAAGATTTCCATTGAGCGTAATAAGTTTTCTGTAAATTAAGAGCATGCTTACTATAATTGTTAAAAATTTGAAAAAAAAAAAAAAGGGAAGCTAAAAGTCAAAATCTAGAATCTGTTTAGTTAAAATTTTTGAAACTAAAAACCGTGTACAAATTTTAATCTCAATCCTCCTCGATGAGTACACCCAATATTAATCATTACCCAAAAAAAAAAAAAAAAACAAACACAGACTATTGTAA